CAAAATCATCCAAGTCATGAAAGCATTTCAATATTGAAACCATTTGAAACCTCTGGTGACTATCCCCCATTGTACGAAACCCCCAGTTGGGGGGTCATTCCCATAGTTTTCAGACCTGCATCCAGATTTTGATCATAGCACCTGGCCTCAACACGTCACCAGGGCTAGCCCAAGTCCCGCACGCCCTGAACTTCCACAGACCAAGCACCTCTTTCAGCCTACAGGGTGTTGAGCCCCAAGTATAAGACAAGAGTTCAGGGTTTGCGAAAGACTGGACGAAAAGAACCGAAACAAAAGCCAACTATGGGGAAATGGAGTCAGAAGCCTTCTCAGAGAAATAATGGCAATCAAACTTGATGGATGGATACTGTGTTAAAAAGAAACCACTAAACCACTTGGCGCTGGCATGGCCACCCAGCTTTTCACTAGACTCAAACAGCTAAAGTCGTACCGCCTCCCAGCCCATGTCCATGTGTTGCTTCACACAGTGATGTCATTGGTGGAAAAAACGCACAGGCCAGGTAAGAAAAAAAACTGCGAAGCCGGTGCAGCAAACAAAAAACCTACAGATCTGCGTGTCGCTGCGCCTGTCGTACAGATCCTCCAACCCCAAGCATCGTCTGCAAGGCGCGGGAAAGACGAGTGGCCTGCCGCGTGAAACCGCAATGGTTGGGGCCGTGGTCAACCAGAAGAGTTGCGGACGAAAACAACAACTGTTCCCTTTTGACCAGTGATGTCGACAAGCACTACCACTGATTTGCCGATTTGCCTAAATAAACAAGATAAGTAAGCACTCACGGACTCACAATGCTGAAACATCCCTAACTCGCTATTAATCATGCTTACCTGCTCTGGATAATTTTTGCAAGCCTCCAAATAAATGATCACGGTTGATTATTTTGGGCAAACTACAAGGGATTCGGAGCCAAACACCATGCAGGTCGGGCATCACCATTGACATTCCCGATGATCGTTACCTGGCTGAAACAGCTGGCAACAAGCACACATCCCGTGTGACGCACTTCAAGGAATGCGGCAAGCGGTGCAAAATCATAGATTGTCATGGATTATTGCCCAACAGCGTAAGGTAATTAATGGGGTCTTCAGCCCAGAATAGCTCCGGTATGCACTGATGCAGGCGCCGGGTCAGGTTCAACGAGGTTCCAGAGAAGGTTCCGAAGGTTCCAGAGAAGGTTCCGAAGGTTCCAGAGAAGGTCTGGGAGGCTTTGGCGCAGAGCCAGGTCACGTTCGACAGGGTTAGAAGTTCCGGCAGGCTTTGGTGCAGAGCCAGGTCAGGTTCAACAGGGTTCCGGAGAAGTTCCGGCAGGCTTTGGTGCAGAGCCAGGTCAGGTTCAACAGGGTTCCGGAGAAGGTTCCGGAGAAGGTCCGGGAGGCTTTGGCGCAGAGCCAGGTCAGGTTCAACAGGATTTGCGGCCATTTTATTCACAGAAACCCAGCTGATGTTTTCCAGCGCTTCGCTTCGCAGCACGCTTCAGAGAGATTTGTAAAAATAGAACGTTGCGACTGTTGGGGATACCACCGAAGCTTATCTATTTTCTATCGAAAATCTGTGGCTGGAAAATCTCGGTTTCAACGGATGACCGCATGGCAAGCAACGTGCAAACAAGGATTTTCTCAGACCTTCTTTCCCTTGGCACGCTTTTCCACCTTCAGTGGCAACTCCTTAGAGGGTACGAAATCAGAACTAGTCACACCACAATTGGAGCATGAAACACGACTGCTGGATATGTAGGTACATATGTATACCCACATATTATACATGCATATCTAATAATAGTGATGTCCCCCCGTATGTTATATTTATCTTATTATATCGTGTATGTGGGGTAGGTATGTATGGAAGAGGGGGACGCAACAGTGAGCGGGAAGGGATAAGCCCCGGAGACCCCCATACGCTCCGTCATGCCCGTGCCCCAATTTACACAAGCCATGAGGATGTATAGATAGAGGGTGTCCCAAGAGTCGAGGCTAAACGACAACGGCAACCCGGGCTAGGTCGAATACCCCATCGAGGACCTTGGCAGTCGAGGACAAGGACATTAACACAACACAATACAACAAAACACCCCATCCAGGTATGTATAGATATATATAGGTGTTAATGTACTTACAATCGTGTCTTTATATACAAATACTGTATTCTAACCAAATTTAACAGAAAAATATGTTCCCCAACAAGAGGATGTATGCCCAATGTATGAATATTGCTATAAATGTATCGTATGATGTATGATGGTTCGCGATGGCCATGGATGCCATGGCTGTACGTAAATACGTACGTTACGTTATGTTGTTATGTTGTGTTGTGTTGTGTTATATTATGTTATGTTATATATGTAATGTATGTAATGTTATGTTATGTTATGTTATGTCATGTCATAATAAGTGATGTATGTATGTATGTATGCATGCATGCATGCATGGATGGATGGATGTATGTATGTATGTACGTACGTACGCCCCCCCACCCCTTACGTACGTCTGTATGTAGTATTGTTGTAATTGTATGTATTGTATGTTTGTATGTATTGTATGTATTGTATGTATTGTATGTATTGTATGTATTGTATGTATTGTATGTATTGTATGTATTGAATGTATTGTATGTATTGTATGTATTGTATGTATTGTATGTATTGTATGTATTGTATGTATTGTATGTATTGTATGTATTGTATGTATTGTATGTATTGTATGTATTGTATGTATTGTATGTATTGTATGTATTGTATGTATTGAATCGTATTGAATCGTATTGAATCGTATTGAATCGTATTGAATCGTATTGAATCGTATTGAATCGTATTGAATCGTATTGAATCGTATTGAATCGTATTGAATCGTATTGAATCGTATTGAATCGTATTGAATCGTATTGAATCGTATGTTATGTATGTTATGTATGTTATGTATGTTATGTATGTTATGTATGTTATGTATGTTATGTATGCATGTATGTATGTATGTATGTATGTATGTATGTATGTATGTATGTATGTATGTATGTATGTATGTATGTATGTATGTATGTATGTTATGTATGTTGTGTGTTTTTGTGTGTTTTTGTGTATGTTGTGTATGTTGTGTATGTTGTGTATGTTGTGTATGTTGTGTATGTTGTGTATGTTGTGTATGTTGTGCGTGTTGTGTGTGTTGTGTATGTTGTGTATGTTGTGTATGTTGTGTGTGTGTTGTGTGTGTTGTGTATGTTGTGTATGTTGTGTATGTGTATGTATGGCGTACGTGTATGTGAATGTGGATGTGTGTGTGTGAATGTGTATGTTTGTGTATATATGGTCCAGCGTTCCAACCCCCCTCCCCCCGTGTGTCCCCCTCCCCTCCCTGTGGTGTGGTGGGGGTGTGGTACTGTCCCCCCTCCCCCCTGTGGTGTGGTGGGGGTGTGGCACTCCGCATATATATATATATTTATGTGTGTTTATATTAATATATATATATATATATATACATAGATATATTTATTTATATATATATATATGAATATATGTATATATGTCTATTTTTATATATACACATATGTGTATATAACATATATATATGTGTATATATATATTAGATTGCCAGGCCAGACATGTATTATTACACGGCAAGACTGATGGTTCCTTGATGCTCCGGGGAACCTCAAGCCTTGCCCCTATACATTGCATATATGAATATATATATATATACTCATATATGTGATATTAGCAATATATATATATATATTATATTACTGCAAAGCCTTTTTGTGCAGCAACATGTGTTGTTCCAGGGAAAGACAACGTTGCCACGGATTTCTGCCATGTTGAAAAACCGGAGACCTCAGGAGCTGGCACCTTTCTTGGTGGCGTCCACTGCGAAGCCACAGGAAGGAACGGAGCCGCGACTGGGGGCCATCTTCACCGATCTTTTTTTCCACACCTCATGGGGAAAAAATGGGGAAAAAATTGGGAAAAAAATTGGCAAAAAATGGGAAAAACTGTGTTATACCTTGATACCTTGATATTTTCATATATATTCATCATGAAAATCTATATACCGATAGCATTTTGTGATGAAAAAGATTGAAATCATGGTATGGAATGGGGCTCCAAATCTTGAACATGTTTGAACCAACTATTGCAACAGCCCCGCCTGCTCTGCGGTCGGTTATTCCGGCATCGCACCATTGCGCTCCATTTGCAAAATCTGTTTATTTCTGTGTTGAAACTACGCTAGGTGCCTTGTAAAGCTAGCTGTTGTCAGTTGAAACATCCACAACTTGAGGCCAGGGATAGGTGACGAAAGCTAGCAGGAAAGGTTGAATCAAATGTTGATGGGTTGAGAGGAGACAAAAACAATAGTAAAATATGTGCGCATCCTGAGACCCTGCCTTTTTTTCTAGAGCAATTGCAATTTCAGCTAGCTGATGCTCAGTGAACCAGTGGTCTACCCTAATGATCCACTGGACAATAAGACTAATAAAACAATAGGACCCATCTTGGCATCCCGGTGAGCGCGGTGATTCACGGAAGTCTGGCACCATGGTGAAAAAAATGTCAAACCTCAGGCCCCTGGTCATCTCGCTATCATCACATAGGGATTCCCCAAGTAATGGATATAATGTGAACCCCCATAAGTGCCCGTGTTTTGAGCACCATAACTAATAGTCTTCATGTGGATCTATATGTAGACATGTCATTTACATGTTGAACATGTTCTTCTCAGCACGCTCTGGTTTGCTGCTATTATTCTTGCACCTACGGTACCACCTGCAGATCAAGCATCTGTTGCTGAGGACAGGAGCCCCGTCCTGGAGTGGTCTTTCATCCTGATTGTCCTTTGCACAAACTTAGGATATCTTAGGA